CATGATCATCTATAAAATTCACATGACCAGCATCTCCTTACACAACAATTTGGGCTTCACTCGCCAACTGATGCTCTACTAATGGCAAGTCCTGTATATTGTGTTTAGAGGTGGCTGATATGTACTCACTCATTTTCTTTCCCAAAGATAAAGCTTCCCTCGCAGGAACCACATTTTCCCACCAGAACTCTCCTAAAATTCCATGTATTAGCTCCCAATAACTAGGCTCCCTATGCACACGAAAAATAGTGCTTCCATTTGGTGTCCAGCAATACAAGTCTACCCATTCTCTGTCCATGATCTCCATTTGGCCCTGCACCTGAGGCATGTAATAGAAGGGCATGGTTGACCAGGGCAAAGCCCTTTCAGGCTTCCCCTTGTTATATGGGCACTTCACTTCTAGGATCCCACCAGCCAAAATACCATCAGGCGATGCACCAAGCCAACCCAGTCGTTTCTCGGAATGAATGGCGAATCCCATTGAGCTCACCTCACGACCTGTGATGCTCTTGTACTTTTCTATGGCTGATGCTTCGTTCATCACACCCCATTCCATAGCAAATCTTTTACTAGGTTCAACCTTAATGTCCAACTCTGTAGCATACACCTTCTCCTGCCAAAGCTCCAACCGACGGTTTCCCTTCCAGAAACCCAATGCTGTACTGAAGGTGCTAGTAGTCAACTTGTCCCGCCGGAGGGCAAACCATTCATCTGAAAGTTGACGGGTTTCAGAAGGAGTAAGCTGAGCACCCAAAACCAGTGATGAGATGACAGGGGTAACTGAAGAAATCATTGGTGATGCAACAGTGCAGAGGCATCTACTTCTTCCGTTTAGCACATGCCTTTGCCTTGGCATACAACTGTTTTGGAATCTAGCAATACTGCAGGATCTGTTCATTGTTGGAAAATATCATACACTTAATTGACCTTGATGGTGTAAATCCTACAAAATGGGAAAAGATTAGAATAATGGTCTTGTAAAAACTATGCAACAAGGACCCTATAAGGATAAAGAAGATATAATCACTAGAATATGGGGTTTAAACAAAAAATCTGTTTTTTATGTTAAATTTGGTTTAAGTTCCAATTCTATGGAACATGAAAAAATAATATAATACAAATATAAGAGAAATTTGAAAGAAAATACTTATTTATTTCAAAGTCAATTTGATGTCCAACTCAAATTAGATGTTCTAGTGATTTCTTCATTAACATGTACAACACAAAATCTGTGGTGTGGAATTCAAGATACAAGTGAAATTGATTGAATTGTGTATCCGATACATAAATTCAAACTAATTTCTACGCAACAAATAATTAGATTTGCTAATTGAAGGAGAACAGGATATGGCTGAACCAAACACAATTTATGGTTTTGCAATTATAATTCTTTTTGGGCATTCAAAAGAAAAATTGAAGGAAGATATGGATAGAAATCATAAGTTTTGTTTTTTATCCTAATTAAGAAGCCAGAGAAATGATTGCAGAAGAGTAGCATAAGAGAAAAATCCTAGTAGCAAAAGAGAGAAAATCCCATGAGGGAGGGAGTTGCCATGAGAGACATGCCGTCACTGCTCTGAGGAAAGGAGATTGGGGGAGACCAAAGGCAAAAGGTCCCTTCTATTTGATATTCCACAGGGCAGAGGAAAGATTCAATCCATTAATTTTCTCTCCATTCCATTACTTAGCTCTCTCTCCCTCTCTAAGAAATAAACTTAAGATGTCTTTTTCTTTTTCTGATTTGATTCTAGTGTGACTAATATTAGAGTTATCAGAAAACAGAACACTCCTACATCAATTTGTTTCCTTTTCTTTTAGCAGACTCTTCCATCATCACCACACTCAATCCATCAAAAGAAGAAAAAAACCATAGAGAAGTGCCACAAGAGATTTAATTGTTGCAGTAAGAAGTCCTTAATTTTTTCTAAAATTGACAGTCCACTAGAATCCAAGTATATCATTTCTCATTCAGAATTACATTATATAGGCCTAAGAAGTGACTAAAAGAGGAGCGTCTAGATCGCAATCACAACAAAATAAAGAAATTTTCCATCATTTGGCACCAAATAGTTAAGAAATAAATTTCAATACGTAATAGAGGATCAATCATAAGAAGAGATGCAATCACTGACGTAATGTCACAAAGGCAAAAAGATGGTAGCAAATATGCGGACTGATCTGTAACTTGCAGCAGAACCGAACAGCTTAGGTTAACACCATGGAGATATTGCGGATATGCCCTGTAAGTCAACCGCTTGGATAACGGACACTCATCAAGGGATGTTATTCAATCATGTAACTTTGCAAAACATTATATACAACATATAATGGAAACTATATTCTTTATCGTAAGCTACTTGTTTAGATCTATATATCCTAGAAATGATGCCGTAAAGCTTATCCTTGTGTTGGTTTCACAAAGTCGAGATCATAACTTTTACAAACAACAGTTACAAATATTTATGATCGATAGATTCATGAGATGGGACATTATGAAATCAGGAAAACTGATACTAATTATGTCAACTATTAGAGAATGTTAGCCACGGCTAACATTAATAAAGAAGGGTACTATGATATTTGTGTAGACACTTGTTGGAAACAAGTATATTACATTTGACTCGCGACAGGATATTCCACGAAGTATTATTCCGTGTCAAGCAAGAGACTACCGTGTAAGTTCTGAAAAATTAATCCTTAAACTTGTTCATATCTTCAGCATAAAAGATTTGATTTCGCTTTCATATTGAGATTAGTAAGAATGTGAGGTTAGGGCGTTACCTGCTTGAAGAAATCGAGTTATGCGGCTGCAATGAGGGCTGGGGGTGACAGGTGAGCTAGTCAGTTTCTTCCAGTTTCCTAATCCTCTGGTTTTGGACTCTGAAAGTTGCTGCTCGAACTCGACAAAGCAGGGAAGAGGCGTAGCTTTTGAGAAAACAAGATAAATATCCGGGAAAGGCTACGCAGAGAGAAAACGTTTTAGGGGAAGGGGAAAGAAAGAGTAATCGGAGACAAGCTTTCCCGTGGATTTCGCTGATCAAATAATAATAATAATAACAATAATAATAATAAAGAAGAAGAAGAAGAAGAAGAAGAAGAAGACTGGAAGTATTTAGGGTATCTTCAGGGAGTGTTGCTACAGACTGAAGGAATGACGGGGAAATTTAGGGCCTATCTGTTCGGGAAGAAAAGATTGAAAGAAATTACTCTGTGGGGGCGGTACCAGAATGTAATTGATGAGCTCAGCCATTTATAAAGTGACACATCAGCAAAAAGCCATGTAATCATTTCACAGACAAAGTTAACATCCTCTTTAAAGAGAAGCACTTAAATAAATCTATGAAGACTGAAAACTACGTAAAAAAAATTCAGATAAATAAATATGATAAAATTTGTCCTAAAATATTCAAAAACAATCACACAAAGATACCAAAATTTTTAACGTAGAAAACTCATTCAATATGAAAAATAAAAACCACAATACTACTCCTAATCTAAGTAAAAGAGTTTCACTATAAAAAAATTAGTGTTTACACCAACTACAAAACAACCACAATAATCCTCAAACAAATTCTCAATAACAAATCAATCAAACAATAAGAGATAAACAAGGAAATTGAGAAATATCACCAAATCAGCTACTGTTCATGTAAAACAGATGCGTTTTGATTGTTTAAATCCAACCTCCATTGCTCACATCAAAGACCAACTTATCTAAAACATGCTCACCGAATTTCAACCTCATCAGACTACAAATGACCATTCGATCATCGAAGAAAGTCAAATTGGTCGGTGTAGAGAAAACAATGTGAACAGTAACTTCGAAGTGAAAATACTGGAAATTCAACCGTCGAAAATCGACGTCCACCATTCAAAATAAAGAACAATGAATATTCTAAATATCTACGAAATTTCAATATGATCAGGATAAATATGGTAGTCTGATCGTGGGAAGAACCGAAATACATTGGATGTAATTTTTCTAGTAAAAAATTCTCTTTTTGTTATATTTCTTTTTTGTGGCTGAAAACTTGTTTTTCTACTACTTTTTAGTGTTAAAGTGATATACTATAAAAATCTTAATAGCTCTAATGGACCAAAAATAAGTGGCTCAAAATTTTTTTGGGTTTTTCCACATAGGAGAGAACCCAAAACCCAACAATTTTCCCCCTCCCGACTATGTAGAGGAGTTCACCAAACCGACAACCATTCGACATGCTTCAAATTTCACTATTAGTAAAGCCTTTGTGCACATATCAGAACTATAATCTTAGTGTGTATCTTTTCAAATTCAAGCTGCTTAGAATCTAAAACATCACGAATCAAATGATACTTCACATCAATGTGTTTGGATTTACCATGAAAACTAGGATTCTTACCAAGATGAATAGTACTCTAACTGTCACAAAATAAGATATATATCTTTTGTGTAAAGCTCAGTTCATTCACAAACTTTTTCATCCAGAATAATTCTTTACATGTTTTAGTCATTGCAATGAACTCAGCTTTTGTAGTAGACAATACACTGCATTTCTGCAGCCTAAATTATCATGCCATAGCTCCCCCTGTTAAAGTAATCAGATACCCAGAAGTAGACTTTCTCCTTTATCAAATCATAATCTATATAACCATTGAGAATAGACTTCTCAATCCTAAAACACAACTTCAAACTAGCAGTACTATGAAGATATCTTAAAATCCACTTTATAGCATTCTAATGCTCTTTTCCTGTATTAGATAGAAATCAACTAACAGTACCAACTGCATGAGCCACATCAGGTATGGTACAAACCATAACATACACCAAGTTACCTACTGCAGATGCATAAAGAATTTTTTGCATGTCTTCTTTCTCTTTCTCATTAGACGGAGATTATTTGATACTCATCTCTTTCTCATTAGAAGGAGATTATTTGATACTCAATTTGAAAGACATAGCAAGAGGTGTACTTATAGGTTTAGCTTTGACCATATTAAATCGCTGCAGTACCTTCTCAATGTACTTTTCTTGAGATAACCACAACTTCTTGTATTTTATATCGTGAGTGATTCTCATGCCAAGAATGTGTTTTGTTGGCCCTAAATCTTTCATTACAAAAGATTTGCTCAACTCTTTCTTCAAGTTATCAATTTCTGGAAGAACTAGAACCCACAATAAACATATCGTCAACATATAGTAACACGCTGATAAAATCACTATAAAAAATCTCTGTATAAAATGCAATAATTAGATGTAGTCTTCTTGTAGCCTTGTTGAACCATAACTGACTCAAACTTCTTATACCATTGCCTAGGTGCTTGTTTTAACTCATACAAACTCTTTCTCAATTTACAGACATAATTTTTTATTCTTTTCACCATAAAACCTTTAGGTAGTTTCATGTAGATTTCTTCCTCTAATGATCCATGAAGGAAGGCTATTTTAACATCTATTTGCACAACTTCTAAATCAAGACTAGCAGCTAACCCCAAAATAACACGAATTGATGACATCTTGACCACTAATGAGAAAATTTCTTCAAAATCAACTCCTCTTTTCTAACTGAAGCCCTTGATAACTAATTTGACTTTGTATTGTGGAGATGAGGAATTCTTTTCTTGTTTCACTTTATAGACCCACTTATTTTTCAAGGCTTTTCTATCTTCAAAAAGCTTCATAAATTCAAAAGTGTGATTATCAGCTAAAGACTACATTTCATCTTTCATAGTTGTATCTATTCTACCCTTTGCTCACTCTCAATTGTATCTTCATAACATTCAGGTTCTTCTGCATTTGTTAAAAGTATGTACTCATTAGGTAAATACCTATTAGAATGCGTTCGATCTCTAGTAGACCTCCTAAGTGGAACTTCAAGTTCCTCAATATGTGCCTCTTGTTGAACATCAACTATTTCATATTCAGCAGTACCAATCTCATCTATATTATGATTGTCATTTTGCATATCATCATTCTGAACCTCAATTGCATCAGGCATATAAGTTGCAGGAGATGGGTCTAAGTCAATCAAATCACCAATGTGAGACTTAGATTTCTCCACTTTGTTAGTATCTTCAATAGTCTAATCTTCTATAAAGATTACATCACGGCTTCTGACAATTTTCTTTTGAACTGGGTCATAGCATTTGTAACCAAACTCATCTTACCCATAGCCAATGAAGATACATTGCCTAGTCTTGGCATCTAACTTAGACCTCTCATTTATGGGAACATGCACAAAACATTTACAACCAAACACTCGTAGATGTTCATAGGAAACATCTCTACCATACCAGAACCTATTAGAAACATCATTGCCCAATGTAACAGTGGGAGTTAGATTAATCACATGTGCGACAGTATACAAAGCTTCACCCCAAAAAGAGTTAGATAATTTAGCCTCTGAAAGCACGCGTTTGCCTCTCTCCATCAATGTTATATTCATCCTTTCTGTCAAACCATTCAATTGATGAGTTGTCGGAGGCGTGTTCTGATGTCTAATACCTTGTTCTCTGCAATATACATCAAAAGGCCCACAATGCTCACCACTATTATAAGTGTAAATACATTTCAACTTCTTTTCAGTTTCTCTCTCAACAGAAGCTTGAAATTCTTTAAATGCACCAAACACCTAATCTTTTAACTTTAAGGTACTAACCCAAAGTCTCTTTGAATGATTATCAATAAAAGTCACAAAGTAAAGTACACCACTAAATGACTTATCCTTCAAAGGACCACAAACATCTGAATATACCAGCTCAAGCAAATCATCTTTCTTGGAAGGAGAATGATGTTTGAAAGAAACTCTCTTTTATTTTCCAACCTAACAATGAACACACCTGTCTAATCTTGTACCTTTTAATCCTGAAAGCAAATTACTTTTAGTTAGACAATCAAGTACCTTCTCACTAATATGACTCAGTCTTTTATGCCATAATTCTGAGAAGCTATCACCTTCAACTGCATTAATAAGATTTGTAGAGATTGAAGCTTGTAACCAATAAAACCCTATGCCTTCTTTTCTCTACCCACAACTAATAAACCTTTGCTGAGTTTACATTGTCCATAATCAAAAGTGTTGCAATAGCCATCATCATCAAGCTTATTAGTGGAGATCAAATACAACTTAATATCTAGAACATATCTAACATTCTTGAGCTCTAACTTTGTTTTATTTTGGGTTTCTAAATAAATAATTCCAATGTCTATCACCTTTGACACTCCATCATTATCCATCTTCAAAACCCTAAAATCACCCGGAGTATAAGATGTGAAGAATTCCTTCCTTAATGTAACATGAAAGCATGCACCACTCTCAAGAACACAAATAATGTCATCATAGGCTACATTGATCATATTCTCTTAATAAACTATAGCCAAATCATCATCTGAAGTGGTAGTGGCAACATGATCTGTATTGTTGTCATTTCCCTTCTTTTCTTGCTTCACTTTATCTACCTTGTTCTCTTTCTTCCACTTGTAACAATATTTTTTGATATGTCCTTTTTTACGACGATGATGACATTAGAGGTTCTTGTACCTTGATTTTGATTTACTTCTGCTATTGCCTCTATTATGATCTTGACCCTTATTTTTACTTCTCCCCCTGTTTTCAGTAACCAAGATTTCTGACTATGAACTAGATGTCCCCTGATTTCTTCTTCTCATATCTTCATTCAAAACGTCAGTCCTTGCATACTGCATGGTTATAACACCATTAAGAGAAGAATTAGTAAAAGATATATGAAAGTTTTTCCATGAATCAGGAAATATAGTCAACAACCAAATTCGAATAACATCTTCATCAAATTTGACACCCATGCTAGACAGTTGATCAAAGATATCTTGAAATTCATTTACATGATCAAGTATAAAATTATCTTCTCTATATTATAAACATATAGCTTGTTTAAGCAAGAATAACTTATTGTTTTCATTCTTTGAAGCATATAAGGTTTCAAGCTTTTCCCACAAAATTTTGGCATTTGTTTCATTAACAATATGATTCAACACATTATCTTCTACCCAATCTTCATAAGATTTAGACTCAAGTTTTTTAAAAGCAAACACAGGTAAATGCAATATTTTCACAATAAGATCCCTCATTTTTCCTTTCTACTTGTAATAATTTGTGTCATCCAAACAAACCATTTTACTCACATTCACCTTCATCATTCAAACAA